CCCCAAAACCCCAAAACCCCAAAACCCCTTCAGTAAAAATTTGCAATATATTAATAAAACATAATAATAAAATATGAATGAATCTCTTTCCATAGTTTAGTCAATCATTAAGGTCCCTTTGCTTTTTCAGATTTTCTAGGAACTATAATCTTATCTAAGTCAGATTAAGATTTAATCAGTTCTTTTTCATTGTTTTCATAGTATTCATCGAGATTTAAAGTTTTACAAATACTATCTTTTTTTTCTAAACCAGTATAAACTTCAGCTTAAACAACAATTTCTTTTTTAATTTATATCTCTAGAGATGGTAACTGTGAGATAAGCTTCATCACAATCTTCATATAAATATCCTAAACTTATTAAATTTTTCCAACCATATCAGCTCTTTTCTCTCTTTCTTTTTCCAATACTTTTTCGATCAATTTCTTTTGATCTTCTTTGATTTTGCTTTAGAATTCTCGCTAAAGTTCTTCTTAATCCACAGAGTTGCCTATGTCTTTAAGCTATCTTATTAGTTCAATCTAATTTTGTTGCATTTTATGAGAGAGTTGTTCAAATTATTCTTCAATCTAGGAAAATTCCTCGTCCTTATTATAGAAACTATCAGTTAGATCCTTGTTCAAATTTTCTAACAGCATGTTACTGTCTTATTGCATTGTTGATATATTAGTAAGTAGGTCTTATCTGACATCCTATTTGATTTATTCTTCTTTTAATGAAACATTGAATCTACACTTGATTGCTCGGAGAAATTGTTTTATCAAAATATCCACCATCTCCTCATTCGAAAAATCTTAGGATGCAATAGACCCAATTTTTCTGAAAGATGCAGTATCTTAATAGTCTTTTTTCAGTGCTGAAAGTTAGCTTTCAATGAACTTCAAACTCTAATTATAGTAAGAATTATCATCATTTGCTCCTTTATTTTTGCCATCATTTGTTTGTGCCGGATATTTTGACATATTTAATATAATTTAAATTGATCAATATCAATTGCTAATATAGATATCTCTAGGGGTTTTGGGGTTTTGGGGTTTTGGGG